CTCGCTGGCGCTGCTGGTCAGACCTCAGCACAGCCAACATTCCCATTGTTATTGCTGCTTGCTGTGTGCTCCATAATATCTGTGAGTGTAAGGGGGAGATGTTTATGGCAGGGTGGAAGGTTGAGGCAAATCGCCTGGCATCCAATTTTGAGCAGCCAGACACCGGGGTGATAAGAAGAGCACAGCAAGGCATGCTGTGTATCAGAAAGGCTTTGAAAACCAGTTTCATGACTGGCCAGGCTTCGGTGTGACAGTTGTGTGTGTTTCTCCTTGATGCAACCCCGCCTCCTTTGTTGATTTTAATTCCCTATAAGCTAACCACCCTCCCCACTTCAAAATAAAGTAACTATTGTTTTGAAACCATGCATTCTTTCTTTATTAATTTTTTAAAAAATGAGATAACGGACAAGGCCGGGTGGGATGCGGCAGGGGGAAAGGACAAGACCACGTTGCTTATTGTAGCCACACTAAAAATCAAACTGTTTGAATTAAAGCCTTCTGTTGCTTGGGCCATCCTCTGGAGTGGAGTGGGTGGGTGCCCAGAGCCTCTCTCTCCCCCCACCCCCCATTCTTGGGTGTCTGGGTGAGGAGGCTATGGAACATGGGGAGGAGGGTAGGCGGTTATACAGTGGATGCAGCGGGGGGTCTGTGCTCTTGTTGGCTTTCCTGCAGCTCCAATAGACACTTCATCATGTCCGTTTGCTCCCCGATTAGCCTCAGCATCGCGTCCTGCCTCCACTCTTTGCACACACTTAATTCTTTCCGGGCCTCTGCCAGTGAATGCCTCCACGCATTAAGCTGTGCCCTATTAATGCGGGAGGACTGCATGAGCTTGGAAAACACGTCATTGCGAGTGCATTTTTTCACCTTCTTATCTGTGATAACCTCAGGGACGGTGATAAGGGGAGCGTAGAAACATTCTACGCTCTATGATTCTGGGGTCTCTGCTGCCTGTGCTGCTGAGTTTGCCATGCTGACCAAACAGGAAATGAAATTCAAAAGTTCCCAGGGCTTTTCCTGTGTACCTGGCTAGTGCATCGGAGTTCAAAGTGCTGTCCAGAGCGGTCACAATGGAGCACTCTGGGATAGCTCCCGGAGGCCAATACCATCGATTTGTGTCCACACTACCCCAAATTCGACACAGCAAGGTCAATTTTAGCGCTACTCCCCTCGTTGGGGAGGAGTACAGAAGTCGATTTTAAGAGTCCTTTAGGTCGACAGAACGGGGTTGGTTGTGTGGACGCAGTCATTTTTAAATCAATCTAAGGCGGCTAAATTTGACCTAACCCCGTAGTGTAGACTAGGCGTAAGTGCTTTGCTGAATTGGGGCCTTGGTACCTAGAAAGTAAGTACCTTCGCAAACTGCAAATCAGGGCAAGATGATATTTCAAAGAGTATGCAGTTTGGGGGAAAAATGAATTTCATAAACAAGGTACCAAGAAATGCAAGATGCACTGATTTTAATAGATCGGATTTTAATTTATAAACAGTTAGTGATGTGTGCGCTTCAGAAGATGCTAGAGCACATATGTAATTAAATAATTACTCCCAGAGATATTGGAATTTGGCTACTATGAACTCTTCAGATTTCATCCCTGAATTTACACATGGTTATAAACCACTAGAATGTTAAGAGTGAAATGTAGTAGGCAGGAAAAATACAAATGGATCATTATGAATGGAGTATTCAGATGCTGTTGAATATCACAATCAGAGAACAGATGCAAAAAAATCATTGAGATGATAAACCCACAAATTGCCCTCTTTATACCTGTCAGAATCAGATATGTAATTAATTCAATTCCTATATAAAAACACGATCTTGCTGGAGACCTGCCTACTCACTGAGGTACTCTCCAGAGTCAAGATGAAGAATATTGGCTGGGGACAGTGCAAGAGAAGCTTAAACTAATAATGTTCCACTAAAGATTTACAAAGGACTTTGTTCTATAGGGACATCAGACCAGCACATTTCACCAACACCAAAGGCACGTAAGGAACACGAATTTTAAAGGAAAACACTCTGCTTGCCCTGCACTCTAGCTCTGATCTGAGCTCAGTAGCCCTGATTCTCCACAGAGAGGTCTAGCAGCCCTTCAGGGGCTCACAGCCCCATTCTTCAATGTGTTATATTAACACTTCTCCATGTGGGAGTGTTTATTATCTGCTGTTAACCATAAAGACAATTGACCAATTTCTACCTTGGAGTTACATCTGTTTAGCTGGCACAGTTACCCTAAGGAATCCAGCTGGCTGGCTGGGAATGGTGCAGAATTTGTCAAAGGAAAATGAAGTCTTAGGACACTTTGGAATACACACACACACTCATTTTTTATCCTCTCTCTGGACTGTGTATTTTCTAAATGAGACTGTAGGTACAATGAAAAATCCATTTCCAACAATGTCAAGCATGGACTGGTCGCAGGATTTATAGCCATCTAGATTATCTGAGAGTCTTATGGAAGAATCTCACCATTTTCACTTGGTGTTCCCCAGAAGATCACTCGCCAAGGCATTACAGCTCATCTTATCCATCCTGCCAGGAGTCAAATCCATGTTTGTAGCTTGTCAACACTTTAATGGCACCTTCCCATATTTTGGCTATTTGTGCTGTAGAGGGAAAGGGATTGTCATCTTTCAGTTCCCTTTTTGACACTGAACAGCTTTGGGGATCAGGTTTGTAGTGAAATCAGGAGTATCATATGGTACTAAATAAGAAAGGAAAGGCAATACTAATGCCAGCCATAAATGTATACCGTCGTAGTAGCCTTGTAAAGAATAATGAACTGGGATATCATCTAGAACACTGAAACTTAACAAAACATCAAGGTAAGAAAAATGCACATGGTGGGAAGGAAAATGTGAAGAGCAATACCACTTTCCAACTACCTCTTGAAATCCTTCTCTAGACTATATTTTATTCAGATACCAGAATCAGTTAACAGGAGCCTCAGAAACAGGAAAACAAGTTCCTAGGAGTAGGAACAATCAGCAACTAAAAATAAAAAATATCCACTAAAGATCTTAAACCAAAATGTTTAGGCCAGGTTTGAAGGGGTTTTCCCCCCCGCACATTGTGTTTCCAAGTTTTCTATATAACACAAGTGCTTCACACCATCACAAAACATTCTAGGCTAACAGCCCACTCAATCTGACCTGAAAGTAGGTTGCCTAAATCTTTGCTGCTGGCAATTTTCAAAACAATGATTATAACCCAGACTCCTAGCAGGGTAACTACATTTTTCACATCACTTTGAACTTTCCTGTTTTAGGACTCAATCCAAAGCCTGGCAAAGTCAATGGAAAGATTCCCATAGAGTTCTCCGGGCTTTGAATCAGGCTTTTAGAGAATTTCCTTTCTAATAAGCAGCACAGCTGCTTACATTTCATACTAGCTGGGCTTGGAGAACTGTGGCTTTTAAGTTGATTGGTGGGACAGATGAATCCTTTGTCATCAGCACCAGGGGATATCTGATTTGGCACCTCTTGGCAGAAAGACACAAGGTATTTCTTGTTTCATGTGGCTTCACTGATTTTGGTAGAAATCAAATTTCTTGTTTGAAATGAGCACTCAATTCTCGTTCTTCTGCTTAGCATCCCCCACCATCAATAAAATTCAAATTCTAAAGGAACTACAGGTTTGTTTGTTTGTTTTCAGGTGTATCTAATCTCTCATTTTCTAATCCCTACATTTTATTATGACATAACAACAACAACATTTAGATAGCACCTTGCATTGGCAAATTGCTGTGCAAACGTTAACAGGAACACTTGGGCCATAACTCTTGCGAAACTGCTAGGGAAGACAAGTCCCTACTGTAAATTCCTTGGTACATGGCTGTGCCTTTCTCTGTCTATAAAGCACTATGCAGACATCTGATGCTGAAGCAAAGAAACAAAAGAATCACTAAACGATGATGGGTGTTTTTAGTTAAATACATAGATCGGTTCCTTTGGTGTTTAGCTGAATAATACAGCCACATGAGGGTGTGAGCGCCTAGGCTGGGTCGACTCTAAGTGCATACGTAATGTTATATTAGAAGCAAGAACTCTAATACAACCAGTGTTAAAATCACCTCCAGCCTGTGTATATTGCACATACAGTGAGCTCCATTTTGGATTTTCTTGTCTCTATTTAAAAAAACAAAAACAAAAGAACATCTCATGGTGGCTTGCATTTCAACCCAATTCCTTTTGGTTGGAGAGAGTATGTATCACTAGTTTGAAGGCTACAGAATAAGACAGTCCAACTGGCAGTCTCTTCCTCCTGCCTTGATTCCAGCACCTCCTTCAGAATGATGTGATTCGGATGCCTCCCTGTCTTCTCTTCTTTACCTGCCTGAGGAGGTTACTTCTGCATACCCATCTCCCGGCAACCTGGAATTGAGCTATTCACTTTGGGGGGGGGGGAGGCAGGACCTGGTTACTGTCTGATTTCTCCTGGGTTGACTGTAGGATTGATTTTGCAAACTAATGATACCTAGCTGTTATGCAGAGCATGCAATCCACAGATCTCAAAGCACTTTACCAAGGAAGGTGAGTATGTTTAGCACAGGTGGGGAAACTGAGGCATGACGCAGCAAAGCGACTTGCCTAAATAACCCATTCAAAAAAAGTCAATGTAATTTAAGCAGCGAGATGCCATATTGATGGGCTCTATAGGAGAAGGTAGCCAGAAAGCGAGACAGGCAGGCAGCCTGGCAATCAGTATACAGAATATCAGGGTTGGAAGGGACCTCCGGAGATCATCTAGTCCACCCCCCTGCTCAAAGCATAGCCTCCCTCAGTCCTTGCTCAAGGCACTCACCGTGCCCTTAGGGCTGCAACCTGCTCGGCTGGGTTTGCTGGTGCGGTATCCACACCGGCTGCTCAGCCGCGCGCTGCAGATCGCCAGGGCCCACCCAGGGCGGGGAGCCCATTGTTTTGTGAACGAGAGCAGGCACCTCCCCCCATTGCCTGCTGCTGCCTCTGATTGGCCGGGCAGCGTCGCACGTGTGGCCAGCTGCGGGGGAGCGGGCGGTCGGCACCATGTGAGAGTGCAACAGGCTGGTCCCCCACCCCTCCAGCCTGCTGCTGCGGGCGAACAGGGCTAGGAGGGGGGATCCCGGGGATGCAACCAGCCTCTCGCAAAGTAGCGGGGCCAACGGAGAGCCGCTCCTCCGGGCCAGGAGCTGCTGTGGTGGCTGCGAGACCGCTCGCTGCAGCAGGTGGGTAAAGAAGCGAAGTTAAATAGGTAGCAAAGGGAGAACGAACGCTGTTTTGCTGCGCTTGGCTCAATGCAGCAGCTCTGTGAATTTAGCTTCTTGTGGAGGCAATCGGCATTGTTATCACACACTTTAAAAAAAATGGACAGAGTTTGTGTGTGCCACTAGCTTGCAATCTCTGAGGGGTTTGTGTGTGGCTCGACTGCACTAGTTACCTGGGGGTGTTGGCATGCATTTCACTCTATTGTAACTGTGTGTGTGTGTGTGAGAGAGAGAGAGAGAGACTAGACTGCAAAATATATCCAGGGTTTTGTGTGTGTGAGTGAGAGAGAGAGAGAGTCACTAGATTGCAATACTTCCCTGGGTGTGACTTTTCTATGCTCTCTGAAGAGACCCGTTGAATAGAAAGCGTTTTACACAACACATCACTGATCGCTCAGATCAGGGTGTGAAGCTGGAATGTACTTCTTTGCAGATCCCTAAATAAATTCCTAACTGGAAACAGAGAGAAATCCCGGAGACACTGCTGCAATTGTTGGAGAATCTCTGTTGCTGCCCTTATTTTTTTAATTGGAGACACTTTTGTGACAGTACTTAAAGAAATTGCCTTTTAAAGCTGACGTAATAATTCTTGGGGATTTCTGTACAAAATCAAGCAAATGTGAGTGGAGGGCAGAATGAGAAATAAATTAAAGACAAGGTAATTTGTTCTCCATTAGATTTTGCCTGTAATCTGTGCATAATTGGTACTTTTAATATCTGATTTTATTAAATAGTTTATTTGCTTTTACCCTGGGTTGACAAAGCAATGGAGGAACAGTTTCAGTAATACTTATATATTCAGAATGGGATTTAACTGTCAGGTTGTGACTGTGAAGATGCTTGTTAAACAGAAAAGATGTTTTTAAACAGTTAGACATATGTTCAAAAGAGATGGTGATGCCTCATAAAAGAAACATGTAAAATGTATCTGAAGCTGTCTACTTCAGTTTTCCTCCAGATAATATATAAATCTATCGAATGTACAAAAATCTGCTTGCTAAGCAAGCTCTGTTCACACACAAAAACAGAATGTTTCAGTTATGACAAGAGCACAATCTAGTTTTAGCTTAAACACACACAAATAGGAATTTCCATCCCAGATCAGACCTGTAGTCCATCTGATCCAATATCCTGTCTCCAACAGTGGCCAGTACTGGTTACTTCAAATGACACTGGAAGAAACTCTGTAATGGCCCGTTTAGGTAGGTTGGAAAATCCCACCCTACCTAAATGACTTAGACACCCAAGTGCTACTGGCTCAGTGGGACTCATGTGCCTTGGACACTTTTAAAAATTCCACTTTTATAGAATAACCTGTCCTCAGGGGAAGTTTCCTCCTAACCTCCACCACTTTCAGGAGGTCTGTCAGACGTATGACTGGCAAACCAGATCTGGCCCCATAGTGTATGTATGCGGCCCACATGACCTAGCCACATTCTCCAGAAACTCAACTTTCATGTTTAAAAAAAAAAGTAATTATCTTTTATGGTTGCAAAGAAAACCTTCCAAATGTTAAACCAGTGTAAACTGACAGTGTCTGCTTGAGTCTGCAGAGAGCCTGATAAGATAGCTCTGAGGGGTGTGAACCAACCCACTCCCCATTCATCTAAGTTGACACATCAGCTTCAAAGCCCATTCATGGTACTTCAACATCAGCATTAACCATTCCATGGCAGATCATTCTAGCAGACAGAACAGAAAAAGAGGGTGGGGGGGGGGGGGGGGGGACTAAAGCGCTAGAAGAGCTGGGAATTGCTGCAGGAACGGAAATGCAAAGGAAGGAGTCACGGAGACTCTCAAAGATGGGAAGAGGGGAAGAAAGAGAAAGAAAGGAGGATGGAAAGGTCAGACCTAGTGGTGGCCTAAAGGGGATCAGAATGATGCTGAATAGGACAACAAGGAATTGATTAAATTAAAGTTACTACAGGGTTCATATCCTTTCCGCACTCTTTGTAAAATCCTTACTTAATGTAAATCTGGGTATTCTCATTATCGATATGGACACCCAGTCCTTTTAGAATCCTGCTAAGTTCTTGGCTTCAAAGATATCTTGTAACACGAGTTTCATGGGCTAATTGTGCCTTTTTAAAAAAAAAAAAAAAACCACTCCTTTTTTGTGTGACTTCTGCTGCCTTCCAGTTTCATTGAATGTGCCCTGGCTCTCGTGTCATGCAAAAGCAAAACACCATCACAGTCAAAGGCTAACCACCCCCCCAGTATTATTTCGGTGTTCAGAAAATCAGAATTTTTTCCCCCTGTTTTATTACTCCTGCTGTACTTTAGCAGCTAAAAGCTCTTGGATTTCCCCTATAGTCCATCTTTCTCTCGTGAACAATTTAATGGGTAGAAGAGTGCATTCAATGAGCTGTTTTCAGGATTCATGCTTCCTTCAGTCTCTTGGATACTTTCTTCCAAGACCTGTATTTTTATCCACTTGTTTTTATAGATCACCCTTAACACTGTCCCAAAAGACTTTCCAGAAACTCAGGCAGACACGAAGGAAAAAGATATTCAGACATGCAGGGAAAGCTATGCCCCCTTTCCAGCCAGCATTGCCCACTTTGGTCACTGTTCTGTATCCTTACAGAGCCCCTACACTACATATTATACACATGTATTGCCTTGTTGTATCCTTTCTCTCCATCCAGTCTTGGCTTCCTTTCTTCCATCATGTTCCCTCACATGCTAGAGGGTCTTCCTCTTCTCATCTGCCTTGCACCCTCATGTTCTTCTTTCATATCGAATGCACTTCTTCCAGCAGTCCTTTAATTCATCAGTAATTCTCACAACCCACCTTCCCTCTGCTTTTATCCTGTGTCTTATCTAGCTTAAAGCATGTGTTTTTCAAGGCAGGGAACATCTCCTGTTATGGCCCCAATGCTGCATGGAGTTCTGTGTAGGTACCATAAGGGAACTCACCATTAGTGGTGCCTCCTCCTGGCTATCCTGAGGATGAGCTCTGGCCAGGTATTGAGCCCTTCTCTGGTGGTGTCTCTCCTGGCATATCCTCACTCTAGGAACTGCAACCTCCTCTTCATGATTCCCGGGGATAGTGTATGGTGACCCAGCTGAAGGGGAACAAACTGTCCCAGGCAATCTGCTGTCCCCTGCCTGGTTGGTGCCACATTCCCAGTGTCTGGTAGGGAAACCCAGGCCTGTTCTCTACTCCAGGTTCCAGCTCAGGGGCCTTCTGGTCAGCAGCCAAGGTCTGCATTCCTATTCCTTGCTGCTATTCCCCAGAGCCTTCACCTACCTTCATGGCTTCCCCTCTCTCTGAGTTTGCCAGCCTCCCAACTCCCTCCACTCAGCGAGTGACTGCATCCTACTTCCCAGTAGCCTCCTTCTGTTGCTAGCTAACTGGCTTTATATAGGCCCCACCTGTGGAGTTAATTGGCCTCCCTGGCCACCTTAACCCCTTCCAGTCCTGCGTGGGGTGTATACTACATCACAGTAGGCATGGGGCAGAGCTCCTTGCGGCATTTGGGTGCATAGTCGTAGAGCAGCAAGCAAATATAAGGTGCTATCACAGAGATTTTTATTACTGATAAACAGTTCTGGGAGGTGGGGAGGAGGGTAAGTCAGTGCCCTGTGCTTATGCTGCATTGAAAGGATAGTGTATACAATGGGCAAGAAATATCATCCTCTGGGAACAACACAGAACTTGGGTATTGGGGTATCCCCCAGCACTGGCAGACAGCAGTAGAAATACAAGACTGTGGGTTTGGTCAGTTTGGTGAAAGGGTCAGAAACACCGGCCAATAAATTCCCCTCCCTCGACCCAGCTAGGGGCAACATTTATTGGAAACAAAAGGGAGGCAAAGCTTTAGAATTCTTGCTTTCCACAGGCGTTTATTGATTGTATTTGAGATTTACAGTCTCTGTGTGGGATCACATTTCTCCTTAACATTTTTTACTGAGTTTAGTGGGTGGTGAAAGATGCCAGATTGGCAGGCCTGACCCAGTCACCTGCTTATCCTCTTAGCAGAGATAGCACAATGTAAACTTCCCCCACAAACTGCTCTCACTCGGTGCTTCATGGTTGAAATAGAAGGACCACCTGGAAGGGAGAATTATCTATAGAGACTGGCCCTTTGAATTCACTAAACTCACCACCCATTATACCTGCATGTCTAACTTGGTATATTGTGGCTGGGGCACTGGATCATTCAGTGAGTGTACAAATTGCTCACTCTACTGCCTCTTACTAGACCACCTGAAAAAATAAAAAAATAGAGGGCTAGAGAGAGAGAGAGAAGAGAGAGAGAGAATGTTTCCCCACTTACAAACCTTTGAGCAGCTTCAAACAGCTACTATGTTTTAAAAAAGAAAAATCAACCTGCCAAAGTGTTTCCTTCTTTGCAGGTTACCCTGGCACAACAGTGACAATAGTTAGGTGACATGTTTAAAGTACGCGGCCTTGGTCTTTGTCCCAGTAGAAAGCCAGAAATCTCTCTTGTCCAACAGTTTAAGGCTAAGCCCCAGAAGCTTGTGAGGTATACAATCCTTAAAAGTGTGCGATTCAAAGCTATTTTAGGAATTTTTCAAAGGTTTCCTTTCCCTCTGAGGCCTGTTGAGTTGCACTTACAATAGTGAAGGCATCTGGTTTCACAGGCAGAGGGATATGCAAAATAACATTGGTGCAACTTTTAAGTAGCATGTGTGATGTGTCATTCCATATTCTTTATGAAAATATGTGTATGATATGAATGACATAACTGAGATGTACTTTATGCAAGATGGGTCATGTGAGATATCATTGGAAAGGTTATGGTTTACTGAATACAATTATCCTATTTGTATGCATGTGCCATTTCTGTATCTGAAATTAGGAATATTGACGATGTATCTGTATTTCAACTATGCTACTTTGGGTGACACCCACTGCCAACGCTTCAGGTGCAACAATGGAAAAGCCAAACAGTGCTGATGGCCCATCAACAAGGACACTTAGTCTTCCTGTGAACCTGTGGGTCAGCCTGTGAAGAATGGCTACAGGGGCCCTACAGAGTCAGGTGGTCTTGTCACCTGATACTAAAAAATTACCTGGGACTTCTTGTAACTTTCCACTGTAAGGGAAGTGGGGTCAAACTAGGAAAGAAAGCACTCCTGCCTTATGCAAATCCTATTTAAGGGTGGGGAGTGAGGTAATCCAAGGTTGTTAGTTCTCCCTTGCTACACCACCCAAGATGACTGCTGGAAACAACTAAGACTGAACAGGGGAATAGAATTGGGCCCAGGCTGGAAGTGTGTCTGGCCTGTGAAGAAGATTATTAGAACCACATTTAGGGTGAGAACGTACATGTAACTAATTTCTTTAGTGTATTAAGCTTAGTTTGCATGCTCTGTTTCATTTTCTTAGTAATCTGCCTTGTTCTGTCTGCTACCTCCTTAACTACTTAAAATACACCTGTTATATTTAAAAAAATTATTTCTGGTTTATAATATAACCCAGTTTATGTAATTTCAAATGGGGTGAGGGGAGAGAGAAGTTGTGTACACCCTCCTCCACATTGAGGGGAGAGGGGAATTTCATATAATTTGGGGTTTGTACTCCAAGGGAAGTGGACGTCTGAGTGCTGGAGCAAGTCCCTTAAGCTGAGTCTTCCCAGAGCAGATCTGCAGCTGGGTGTGGCCCTGCCTGTGGGTGTGTTAGAGGAGGTTTGAAGAGCCTGGCTCACCTAGACAGGTTAAAGGGACCCATGCTGGCAGAACAGGTAGACTCAGTGATATCTCAGTGCATCAGGTGACTTCCCAAGGGGTCCAACCCGTCACAGCATGTAACACTTGTTGCTCTCTAATGTGTACATATAGCATATACATAATACATGATGGTGTGATATAGTTAAGTAATTCCTGCTAACAACATCTTTATGCCATACCTCCCCTGTTAGTCAGTAGCATCCAAAAATCTGTATTGCTTTCTGCTAATTGCGGGTCAGTTGCCAGAAATATCTGGATGTACGCTGAGAGGGGGGCTCAGAAGGTATTAGGAGTTACAATTTTGTGTCCAGGCCTCTAGCTGAAAAGATCATTTACCATCAAAAATGAAAGAGAGGAAGCAGAATTCACAGCAATTGTGTGGAAGAGAAAATAGCCTATAATGTTCTTCTGATATAATTCACAGGTTCTGAATACCCTCCGGACAATTATCATGGTTAGATGAAGATAACAGCTATTTGTGCACTTAAGGACAGTCTTGGAAATAACTGTGCATTTCATTTCAACAGAAAAGAGTAAGGTGGTCAGAAATAAAGAATGAGGATGAACACAACAGTATCTCAGAAGGGCGAAAGAACCATAAGTACAGCTGAGAACAAGAAGAGAAGCTGAAGTGGGAGTAGGACAGTGCCAAATGCTGTCCAAGATTAGCATTGAGCTGAGAGTTTGTTACAGGTTTGTTTCATGGAATCAGGGATTTTTTTCCACCCTGTCTTAGTGGCTAATGCAATTTTTACCACACGAAAGAGTTATGAGAGCCTGCAGTTCCTCACAATTCCTTTCCACACTGCACATCAGAGTTAAACAAGACCCTACTGCCTTTCTGATTGCACAGGACAGTTTATTGTGACTTTTAGCCGCTCTCTAATTTTACATTTTAAAGGCCGGCTTTACTCATGCTAGTCTCATAGAAAAGCAGCGTTGTCAAAGTCAAGCAAACAATCACTAACCACACTTCCTGGAGCTGCAACTTAAACTATGTCTGCCCTTAGCTTAACCCCGTTGGAAACCACAATGACTCGCCCCCTACATCAGTCGCTTCCCTACTTTCCCCAGGTCACAGGAGTTCTGGAGGAGTTTGACCATAGCTCTTCCTTGGCCAACCGCATGTCAATCTACCAGGCAGCCAACAGGACAGCCTTCAACTGGACAGACAGCAGGATTGTTGAGTGGGAGAAGTTTGCTGAGCTGGCCAAGTATGAACCAGAGTCCCAGAAGCCCACAGTGAAAGCTCTTCTAATCGTGGCATACTCAGTTATCATCATCATATCACTGTTTGGCAACATGCTGGTCTGCCACGTGGTGATCAAGAACAAGAGGACGCACTCAGCCACCAGTCTCTTCATTGTCAACCTGGCAGTGTCCGATATTATGATCACTCTGCTCAACACTCCTTTCACTCTGGTAAGTGCCACAAGCCGTGCTACTATGCCTGCCAAAAACGGAGCCAGACATGGGCTTGGCCATCCAGCACCGTGCTTCATCTGGTGGCTGCACTCACGCGGTGCATGCTTCTGGGGCTAAGAATTGAGCTGGGCACATTCGTGGCCCATAGACAGCAGCTCTTCCAGGGAAGTAAGAGAGGGGTCTTTCCCCACCCTCACTCCAACTTAGTCTTTCCAAATCCAAAATTAGTTCCAACAACATCACCTCCTAGTCCCTGCCATTGAACCACTAGAGTGCAATAGGGCTTGTATAGACTCCTCCATGGGAATTATTTTCTATGTATTCACAAGTGGGGGTGTGATTTACAGGCTCAACCCTTTAGAAGGCTTTAAACTAGTTGTGAAGCTCCTAGAAGTTACTGTTTAGCAAAATGTCTGGAATTTCAGTCTTAACCTTTACAAAAAGGCTAAGATTTTGTCAGGGATATTTTTAGTAAAAGTCATTGACAGCTCACAAGCAATAAAGAAAAATTCACGGAAGCCGTGGCCTGTCTGTGACTTTTACTAAAAATATCGGTGTCAAAATGGGGTTCTGCGGGGCAGCTAGGAGCTCCCACGGGTTGGGTTTTGGAGATCCAGGGTCCCCCACCACCAATCGCTGAAACATGCAGGGGCCCCCACAACCTGCAGCAGCTGGGGGCTGCAGGGTACCCCCGCCGCCCGCTGCTCTGGGGGCCCGTGGCACGCGGGAGCCCAGGGGTTCCCCCCTCACCTCCGAGCTTGGGGGCTCCCACTGCCTGATGCAGCCAGGAGCTCAGGGGTTCCCCTGCCGCAGCTGGAAGCTGGGAGGTTCCCACTCTGTGGCCGGGAACAGTGGGGTACCCCTACCACTTGCGGTGGCTTGGAGCTCCAGGGGCCACCAGAGTCAGTGGGGGTACCCCTTCGGCTCCCGGCCCCTGCAGCTCCCGACCACCGCAGGCTGAAGTTACAGAGGTCGCTGGAAGTCATGGATTCCATGACTTCCATGACCTCCGTGTCTAAGTCGTAGCCTTATTTATAAACAATTACCAAGGAGTTTCAATGTCTAAAGTTGACAATAGTTTTCTTGGGCTTCAAAGGAAACCTGCCCCAAGTGACAGAGGGCACCATAAGGCTATGTATATTCTTGAGCTCTCCAGATGCAGTCTCAAGAGCGCCTCTGTTTGTTTTGGCTCAGGTACATGAACCACCGTGCCCTGCTGATGGTTTTGCTGGTTTGTTACATTCCCTGCAGGTTCGGTTTGTGAACAGCACGTGGGCCTTTGGAAAGGCCATGTGTCATATCAGCCGCTTCGTGCAATACTGCTCTCTTCATGTCTCCACACTCACCCTGACAGCCATAGCTCTGGACAGACATCAGGTACAGAATCCCCAGACTGGTGTAAGATTCCTTTGGCACAGGTGCTCCAAACCACAGTGTCCCCTATCTAACCATGGGTAAGCAAAGGGGAGTCCAGAACTGAAATAAAATGGGGTGTCACAAGAGGGGCTGTCACATAGTCAGAGCTGAGAGGGGAGTTTACATAGCATCTGCCTATGTTACTCTGGCCTACAGCCATTGGTGTCAGCCTGTCACTTTTGTGAGCACTACCGTCATTACAAAATGTAGAGAGAAAAACTAGAAACGCGCAAACAATGTCCCTTCCTTGTAGAAAACTTGATCTTCAGACCCTGAAATTCTGCACAAATAATGTCAAAAAATAAAGAGCTCAGTTCACCTTGTGTGAAAATGCAAATTACCCAAGCTGGGTGTGCTCTGTTGGCTCAGTTACCGTGTGAGGCATTTCTTAATTTGATTTATTTAGAATAAACATCCTTTCAAGTGGAGATAATCTTACACAATTGTCACGCTCAATCATGGTTTAAGGTATGACGTAATTTCAAGACAAACCAGAGAAAATTGACTTGAAGGTACTCGTTGGTACCAGCTGTAGAGTTCTACGTTTCAGTTTTCTCTAGATCACTCTAATTTGTTAGGCAGTTCTCTAAGTATTCAGTTATTTTTCTTAAAAGCATTGGAACATGTGAAGAGAAGTATCAGTCACTGAAGGGACTTTTCTTTCCCAGTGAGATGACAGTCATTGTGAAGTCTCCATTGCAGGTTATTCTGAACCCGCTAAAGCAAAGGATGTCGCTCACAAGAGGAATGCTGAGCATTTCTGTTATCTGGCTGATGGCAACCTGCTTCTCCCTGCCCCATGCAATCTATCAGAAGCTTTTCCAGTACAACTACCGGTAAGTTGCTCCTCTGCCCCCATGGCACTTTACACAGTCATTTACAAGAATCGCTTCCCGCACTACTGAAATGTAGTTCTACTTCAGGTGGGAAGCTGGGCTGACATTAAGCAGGATAGTTTAGCCCAAGAAGTGACAATCACTGCATCCAGCTGACAATGCACGGGGAGTTTTATATAGACAGAATGGCCCAGATTCTCAACGGCATTTAGGCACCTAACTATCATGGATTTTAATGGTTGTTAGGTACCTAAATATCTTTGTGATTACCCAAAATGGAGTTTGGTCAACACAGCTGGTCCACTGTGAAACTTGGGGCCTTTGGAATTTTAGTGAGCACAAGTGCTCAGGGCCTTGGTTTTCTATCATCTCTAAAAGACTTAGAGCTACTGTGTGGTTTCTCTCAGCACTAGATTCACTGCTGGAGGGCTGTTTTAGCTAGACGGCAACTGTTTTCCCCATTCGCTTTTTTGTTCATAAACAGGACACCCCTGCCATCCAACAAACCCTATATTTTTGTTAGGGAAGGTGAAGGAGGCAGGAATCAAACTATCAAAAACACAGCACACGTGTCTGGTACTTATATAGGCAAGGTTTTATATGTCTAAGCCATGCATGGAGCTATCTAGCGTCACTGCGTTACACAATAAAGACTTCCCTCTTCGATCAACAGGAGAGCGAACCTCAGCAAACTGAGCCACTCCTTTACTCAGTGAGCGAGATCATCTCCCTTCAGCATCTTTGGTTTTATTTGTTTGATAAATCTAAACAAGAGGAGCCTCACTGAACACGTTAGGCACCTCTGACAAACACTTAAACACAATACATCAAAATAGAAGCAGCAGCCTCATAACACATGGCGGTGCTTTTTAAGGCAGTCTGGTGATTCTGCAGGACAATAAAACCTTTCTTGTTAATGCCCCTTTGCTTTGGTTATTTTGCTGTAAAGCGGAGGTGAAGAGTGCTGTTTGCTTGGCAAATGTGAAGGGGATCAAGTGAAACTTCCCATTCAGAGGAAGATTCACAAAGTTCCACAAGAAGGTGAAGATTCTGAGGTGGAGTTTGGCATAGCAAAATCCATAAATGTTTCCCTTCTTGCTCCATGGGGGGAGGGGAGGGAGAGTCCAAAGATATCTTGAAATTGGATGCAAGATAGCTAGTTATCTAGTCTGCCATGTGGAAGCTCAGACCCAGCAGTTGTCTCTTCTTAGTTAAGCCTTAAACTACTTCTTCTCCCTTTATATGAGATTTCTTCCGACCCCAGTGCCCACAAAGTAGCATGGATCAGTACCAGGAAAAGGCATGTAAATCAAACTCAGGGTGTTACCTGCAACTGAGCCAACACACATGGGCAGAAGCTTTTGAGGACTTGATGTCGGGATCCTAAAGCCACAAAACATTGTATCATGGGGGCAGGATGGGGTGATGGATCCAGGGATCATTGTGCTCTGGGGCAGGGCCAAGATCTTAGGTACTACCTTAGTCCACTATTGACAGCAAGTTTGTGGCGCCAGCTAATGAGACTCTTTTCTTAACCAGTAAAGAAAGGTTTCTTCGGGATGGATGCAGCCATGTATGATGCATCAAAACAAACCGGGTTTATTTTTTCCCCATGTTCTCATTCAATACTGCTGGTCAGTAAATATCCAGGAGAACCCCACTGGAGCAAGAGAGGATAGATAATATCACAGCGAGCAGTATTGTCTGCTTGAGATTTCAGTCCCAAGGAGAAGAATGGGGAGGCTAAAATAATCAACATTTGAAAGATTTTCATCTTGCTTACAGAGCCCTCCGACTTATCTGTGCAAAAACCACACAAGATAGCCTTGGCGTTCTTCCTTGGCTCACAGCTACTTCCCTCCTATGAATGGACAGCAAGAGAGAGAGGACACAATGCTGTTACATCAAAATTATTGCATTAAGAATGTTGTCTAGAAAACTTTTAATACAAGAGCCCATTTGTTTTCCCTTGCCTTGCCTCCTAATTTCTCACTCCCTTTTGGGGAGGGAGGAATTCATATTCAAGATGATATGTAGAATTAACACATAAACAAATTGTCTCGGCCCGCTAGCGGCTTTTCCTGGTGGACCACGGGCCAAAGGTTGCCGATCCCTGCCTTAGGAAATACGTTGAGGTAAGAGGAATGCAAATTCTTCCCCTCTGAAGCCAACCTTTTGAAAATATGCCCTGGGGAGGGAGAGATCCTTTGTATACTTACTACCTGCCTCCGGAAACTCCAGTTCTAAGACTTCTGAACTGTATAAAAAGGGAACTGAACATGTTACGAGTGGACACGTTGTGTGCTGAAGCTCTGATGAACTTGTAACAACAAGGATGCCCCTAGGGTGGGGTATTAAAAGATGCACTTTCCAGAGCCCAAGAGAAAGTTAGGACAAACTCTAGTAAGCTTATTAGGTCCTTCTATTGGTTTTAAAATGTTTTCTCTGTAATGCTTTGTACTGTAAGAATAAAGTAGGCTTGCTTAGAAAGAACTGTGTGGTAACTTATGTCTGTAGCAATTACAGTGTTATCCATCTCTGAAGAGAAAGCAAGCAGGTGTCCTAAGGCAACCTGTCCATGCTGGGAATGACAGAGTGAAGGCAATGGGACTGTCCAGCCTGTGAAAACACCAGTCAGAAGGGAGAGAGACACTTGTTTCCACTGAAGAGAGACAACACCTGGGGAGCTGGAAGCAGAGAGTGGATGCCCTGGCAGGACCACTGAGGGGGAATCCAAGTGCAGTCATAGGCACTGACTCTGTGGGTGCTCCGGGGCTGGAGCACCCATGGGGAAAAATGGTGGGTGCTGAGCACCCACTGGCAGCCCCCCATCAGCACCTCCCCCTCCCCCCAGCACCTTCTGCCCACTGGCGGGCCCTGCCAATCAGCGCCTCCTGCTCCCTCCCAGTGCCTCCCACCTACCACAATCAGCGGTTTCACAGCATGCAGGAGGCTCGGGGCGGGGGGAGGAGTGAGAACGTGACATGCTCGGGGGAGGGAGGGGCAGGAATATGTGGATGGGGCAGGGCTAGGCAGGGGTGGGGCCTTGGGGGGAAGGATGGAGTGGGGGACAGGGCCTGGGGCAGAGCCGGCGGTTGAGTACCCCCCGCACATTGGAAAGTCGGTGCCTGTGAGTGCAATTGCCCTAAACTGTGACAGTCCTTTGTGGCCTTAAATTCTCTGTCTCAAAGTCTGCTTTCTCCATTTGCATCTACTTTCTTATTATCAAAAGTTTCCAAGTCCTAAAAATTCAAAATCCTTCTAGTTACACACCTGACATTTGTCAGCTCCCCCTAGGCTTGTAGTCATCCCACATTCACAGCAGTCAGTTCTGGAAGGTCTTCTATTAATGGCATAATAGTCAGTGCAGGAGGTTGACAACAGGATATTAAAGATATTAATCAAACTGTGGAGAATAAAGTTGTCTGACAGGGATTAAGAAGTCTTCAGTGACTGCAGCTGAGTACAGACAGCGGTAGAAAGAAGATGGGCAGAGAGAGACAAAGCAGAAGGGGAGAGAGACAGAAAAAGATGGGTTTAAAACACCCCCAGGAAATAAATGAGTGGATCACCACCTCCCTTAATAGTTCATCAATTCCAGCTACACGTACTTATTTTTGGTCTATGGAACGTTCAGTCCCTTCTGGTGGGGGGCACTGAGAAATTGTTTAACTTATATTAATAGATAGTTACCTATCATACAGGGTTAGGTTAACAGGCAACACTTGTGAGTTTGGGGAAGCATGGGGAGTCATTAGGTGGAGCCCACAGCTTGGGATATTACAGAGACACACTCCTACCTTCTGTTTGTCCCTTTGGGGTTTGTGTGGGGAAGATGAGTAGGAGGGTTGTGTAGCATTCCTAAGAATTGTCTGATGGGGCTTTGTCCTTGCTTCTCTTGTCGACATCCTGCAGGGAACTCTCTTTTCTTTGCAGTTACTTGCTTTATACTAGCCTTTGTTAGCTTGTTTATAAAAAAGGGGTCATAAGAGTTTCTCCTTGCCTTATTGAGGGGACGTGAGGACCCATCTCATGCCATGACAAACAAAACTGCCCATTTCTTAGCAACGGCTTCCAAGAGAAGATTTCAGTTTTCGTTAATAGGCCTTTCTTGTTTAGAATAATGCAACACTTCAGGACCGCGCCCCCCGACCCCAAAAAAAAAAAAAAAACCATGTCATTCACTCTTGACAATGGGAATGTGGACCTCAATACAAGAGAGAGTGCATCATGGTGACAAAAAAGCCCATTAGGATACAAGGACCTGATTTAGTCTAACACTTTTCTGAAATGCTGCTCTCATTGGCCAGGATAAGAACCTAACAGAATCAGATACCCAATATCTGCCACTTTGTGCGAACACTGGAATGATTGTACTGGAACTGCCCTCCCTTTGTATCATAATTCAACAGACTAATGGCCCATCCAACAGTGGCCAATGCTGGATGCTTCAGAGGAAAGTATAAATGTCCTACTGTGCCAGTACTATGGTGTGATACCAGCTAGTAATCAGTTTACACCATAGATCACCATGATCACTTTTATCTTAGTGTAAAAGTAGATAGTATGAATATTATTATTGTGAATAATACTAATTTACACATGTATGATACATATACGAACCTGTATTTTAATTAATATGGCCCATGGGCCATATTAATTCTTGGCGTAGCCCCATTAGCCGCTCTGCATCATTTACTTCTTCTGTAAAATGGTGATAATCGTGTTTATCCAGCTTTGCCAAGCACTTTGAAAGTGATGGGGAAAGAGGCCTATAGAAGTGCAACATATTCATAAACAGAATTACAATACAGGGATAGTTATATTCATTTAACACAGAGGGGTGATGAGGGTTTGATTAATATCTGCAAAGTGCTTGGAGATCATTGGTTGGAAAGCCTTAGAGAAGTAGCATTTTCTTACTTTTCTTCAGCTCTGCCCAAACATACCACAATCAAAGTTGTACAGCACTCCCCTTCATGTGTGCATGCATACACACTATTTTTACACTTCTGCATACTGCATATTCAGTTTCATAATCTGTCCTCCATGATTAGCCTTTCCCACCCCCCAATTAATATATATTATTTACAGCACCTGTAAGTGCAAGATGCTTGACAGACAAGTCATGTTTTCTGTCCCAAGTGGCACATACATACAAACAACAACAGAGGGGGATATGGAGAAGAAGTGTCACAAATACAAGACTAGGGGTAGTCAAGAATGCATACAAACATCTTGCAGTTACAATGTTACAGTATCTATAAGTAGTCACATCTGTAATTTATTTGTTTTTCTAGTGAGGGGAGGGGTGTTGGAAGTGGGGTGACATGAGGTGGGAAGGTACTTCTTCCCCTTTGAAGGATATTAGTTACTATGAACCAGGTACTGCCATCCTTCCATCTGGTAGTACTTTACCATGGGAGTAGTCAGATTGATTGTAATGGGGCTGCTTGCATATTAGGGTATGGTTCAGTGTACACAAGGATAGAAGATTTGGGTCCTATGGAAGCCGTGGTGGCAATACTAGCTCTGTGATGTCCACAAGTGCAGCATAAAGGCGATTTATATTGTGGCCTGAAAGTCCCACACTGGTTTGAGGAAATGCAGGAATTTTCATGAAGGTTTTTGTGGCCACATACTATATAAATACTTTTTTTTGTTTTGAAAGGGAAGCTACTGTCCGGAGTTTGTGTCTTCCTGATTTTCCTGAGCCTGCAGAGCTGGTGTGGAAATACTTGGACCTTTCCACCTTCCTCCTCCTCTACCTCTTGCCCCTTTTGATCATCACCATCACCTACACAAGCCTGGCCAAGAAGCTGTGGCTGCGCAATGCCATAGGGGACATCACCAAGCAGCAATACATCATTCACCACAAGAATAAGAAGAAGAGCATCAAGATGCTGGTGTTGGTTGTGGTGGTCTTTGCTGTCTGCTGGTTCCCACTCAACTGTTATGTAGTGCTCATCTCCAGCCTTGGCATCAAGACCAAAAACTCCATCTACTTTGCTCTGCACTGGTTTGCCATGAGCAGCACTTGCTATAATCCCTTCATCTACTGCTGGCTGAACGAGAGCTTCCGCTCAGAGCTCAAGTCCTTACTCAGCATGTGCCAGAAGGTGCCTCAAACACAGGACAACGTGTTGCCCACTGTGATCATGGCCTATCGAGAGGCATGGATCGAGCAAGCCAGGTACAAGCAGAGGCCTTCCTCACAGAGCATTCGCTCCACCACAAATGTGCAGACAGTCAACACAGATTTGTGAGTTGGAGAGTCAAGGTGAGTTCAAAAGGTTTGGTGGCAAAGGGCTTTATTTATGATGCATCATTCATGTCAATAGGTTGAGAGGGGAGTTTTAGTAGAGGAGCGAAGTATGCCAGGAAATGAGAGATCATGGATATTGTTGATCCAGAGGCATAACGTGAAAAGGGAGATGTGATGGGCTATGCCAGGCCTTCACTGCCCCCTGCTGTGGGTATCACTGGCCTGGCAAACCCCTTTCTAAATAAGCCACTCAGGCTCAGATACTAAGAAGACTTGATACTCCTGTGGCTTGAAGGGTCAGGCAGTGGCCAATCAGGAGCCACCAGGTGAGTTACGGAGGCTTTCCTGCTTTGTTTAAGGGAGAGTGTGGAGTGAAATGGGGACAAAAGAGGAGCTCCTTAGTCTGACTCAAGACTAAACTTGCTCAGTTTTTTCATTCTGTCCTTTTTTATCATTTGTATTGCTCTCCTCTGGACTCTTCAGTATGTTCACATCTTTCCTAAAGTGTGGCTCCCAGAATTGGACACAGTACTCCAGCTGAGGCCCTCACCAGGACTGAGTAGAGTGGGATAACTACCTCCTGTGTCTTATATACAATACTCCTGGTTACGCCCCCCAGAATATTAGCCTTTTTCACAACTACATTGCATTGACTCATATTCCATTTGGATCCATTATAACCCCCAGGTCCTTTGCAGCAGTATCACTTCCTAGCCAGTTACTCCCCATTCCTATTTGAAGCAGAATGGTGTTCAGCTCACTGCCACTGACAGATGCCTCCTCAAGCCAGGGGTGACGGATTCTTCCTAAAAGTGGAGGGACCACGAAGCCCTGCCTCCTCTTTCCCTGATGTCTCGCCCCCACGGCCAAGCCAGAGGCCAGAACCAAGGCAGGGAGCTCGGGCCTCTCTACCTGCCTAGAGTGGGGGGGCCCACGAGCAGCCCCCAGTCCAGGTTCCCATTCCCCGGGCCTCCTGCCTAGGGCAGGTGGAGGGTCTGCAGCTCCCCTCAGCTGCACGCATGGCTCTTACCCCACTCTGGTTTCCGGCCTGGCCTGGGGGTGCGGACTTGGGGGCCAATGAGCCACAGCTGAGCCATGATAAGAGCCATGCAGGCAACTGTGGGGAGCTGTAGACCCTCCAACTGCCATGGGATTTTCACTCCCAACTCTTGTGGAAAGTGCATAGGTAGTCTCATAACTGCAAATAGTTAAACGGAATCCAGCAATAAGCTCTGGTGTCAACCTTTTAAGAAAGATGTTGAAATAATAGAAAGAAGAAAATGCAGAGAAGAGCCACAAAAATAATTTGAGGGCAGGAAAAAATGCTTTTCTGTGTGATTCAAGGAGTTCAATCTCTTTACTTTGACAAAAAGAAGAAGAGATGAGCTGATCAGTGTATGAGTACCTTCAGAGGAAGAAACATACTTGGTATTAAAAGGTTCTCTAAAGAAATGCAAGAGAAGGCCAATGGGTAGACGTTAAAGCCAGTTCTACTCAAATTAAAAATAAGGCACAAATATTTAATAGAGAGGGTGATTAATTCTTGGAACAAACTACCAAAGGATGTGGAGATTCTCCGTCTCTTGAAGTCTTCACATCATGTCTGGATGCCTTTTGGAAGCTATGCTTCAGTCAAACGCAAGTTATTGGTCTCAATAATGGATGAATTTCTATGGCCTGTCCTATGCAAGAAGTCAGACTAGATGATCTAATGGCCCTTTCTGGCCTTCACATCTATGAATCCAGCTCACTCTCCCAGTACAACGTTGGCTCTGTATATCTAACAAGAGTAAAAGCAGACAGAACTGATTTTGGCAGCAACGTTAGCAGTGAGCAGGTCCATGGACTGTGGGTCATTATTACATAGCAACTTTTCAGAGTGGAACTGCACTTTAATATTAGGTCCTAGTCTGATTTGTTATCGTTTGGGATTTTTTATAACATTAAATTGAGTGAATGGATTTACATCGGCACTTAAGCTAGAGGTCATGAATGTTTTCTCAGGACTGTAGCATTTATTAACTTAACAGTTATAGGACTCTGTAGCGTTACTGAATGTTACATCATAGTCTCAGTTAAACAACCGAGTTTACAGGAGCACAGCAAGAGTAAGGATTTTATTTTTTCCTTGAAAAGATTAATCTGACTATGCTGAAGCAACCATTAGATAGAGGGAACTGCAGAGGGAGGAAAGGAGAGGGAGAGTCAGGGTGACAGAGTCAGGAAAGAAAACAAAGATTTAAGAGCATTCAAAAAGAAGGAACATTTTTTTGCCTGTCTGACACCTAGAGGCAGCATGGTTCAGCAGACAGGTCACTGCATCGTGATTCAGGAGACTTAATTTCTATTTCCAGTTCCGCTCGTTGGACAGGCAAGGGACTTCCCCTCTTTATGACTCTGTCTGTCTTGTCTATTTAGACTCCAAGCTCTTTGGGCAGGGACTGTCCCTTGCTATTCATTTATACAGTGTCTTTGTCAATGGGGCCCAGATCTCGATTGGGACCTCGAGGCACTACCACAGTCTATCTAAGTAGCAATAATAAATACAGACATTTTTCTTAGGGCGTGTCTACACCTACCTCCGGAGCGATCGATCCAGCAGGGGTCGATTTATCGTGTCTAGTGAAGACGCGATAAATCAACTGCTGAGCGCTCTCCCTTCGACTCCAGTACTCCATCGGAGCGAGAGGCGCAGGTGCAGTCAATGGGGGAGTGTCAGCAGTCGACTTACCGCAGTATCTTCACTGCAGTAAGTAGATCTAAGTACGTCATTCATGTAGCTGAAGTTGCGTAACTTAGATCGATCCCCCCCAGTGTAGACCAGGCCTCAGTGTACGCAGGGATGAAGGGTAATTTTTTTTATTTGGTGCTGCATACAAATACTTACTGCCTAATGCAGATAAACCCTGCCCAAGGCAATTAAGATCTGTTCCCGAGTCCCTTGGCTCAGAGGAATACATTGTTCTCAGAGAGATATTCTTTTCTTATGTGAACGTCAGTGAAATAAGAATTATTCCAAGAAATACTAAACATTTCAAACTACATTAAGGACTCATTTAGCAGACAACAGAGCAGGAAGACAGGCTGCAGTAAACTAAGTGTCTCACAGCACGAAACTTAGGTTAGCAAATACCAATTCACTTCTGTTAACTACTGAGAATAGGTTTTTGAAGTTTTTATTCAAGGAGGGCGTGCATTAAACTGAAGACTTTCTCTGGCAAACATCCCATTTTACCTAGTATCAATAAGGCAATAATGGGGGAATTATATTGTACCAGGCCAAAAAGTCCAAATCAGTCTGAACTACAGCATTCTCCATGGACACAGCCTTAGCCAGTAATGTATTGTAACCACAGGAGGAGGTAGTATGGTCCAGTGGATAGACAGGGTACATCCCTGGAAGTCAGATGACCTGAGTTTTAATTCAAGCTCTGCAATTGCCCCGTTGCTTGATTTTGGAACTGGAATGTGATAGAGAGCAAACCCCGCAATAAACCAGAGAAATAACCACCTCTAATAAACGAGCTTTAAATTTTTAGCAGCATCAGAGTTGAGCTCATGGCTTGAAAATGTATGGTGGGTCACATGCACCCAGTGAGTATATCAGAAATATTTTTTAAAGGCAATTCTTTTTGGAAGGAGAAGTCTCCCCCTTTAGATTGGGAAAGGGTATGGGACAGAATGAAATATACTGCTAGAAGAGAGGGACAATGCTAACCAAAGACAGATACATAGAATATCTGGAGAGGGCTCAGTTTTCCTGACACTAGTTCATTCTCCAAATCTGGGGACTTTTCTCCTTTTGATTCTTATCTATTTAACCTCTAACCATAGAACAAAAAAGTTATCTTTCTAGTCTGAAATCACACCCTGCAAAACCTATTGTTTGAATCCACTAGCTTGGAGCCTTCAGAGGTCAAATATTATTTGACCAATTTGACAATGTAATCAGCAAAGGAACTTGCTCTAGTGAAGGATAAGCTATGGTAATGGGTGGTTTAAAACTAAAGATGGGGAAAGTAGATGAGGATTCTTCAGGTAATGGAGTGGAAGAGTAAAGCCAGAACTAGAAAACTGATCCCCTCCTTAAGTATTTGACCTAAAGCTTTTCTAAGGCCCCCAAACTGTGTAAATGCCCTCTACTGTCCAGGGAATCCTTTTCCAGTAGCTGACCCATATCATAATCCTCTGATTGGGAATATATTTTATCAAAGGCCTTGAGGCTGTTTAATTCAGCTGATAGTGACAGGGCTCAACATCTGTCTCTTGTTCAATGTTCTTTAAATGGCAGTTCATCTTTGTTCTTCTTAGTAAGTCTGCCTGCTGAATACTCTTAATAAACAGCCTACAAGATTGTATCAGTGAAGTGCCCGGGTTTCAAGTGCAATCTGCTAAATTATAAATCCCGAATGAGAGTTTCATTAGGAAGGGTTATTAAAAAAAGGAGAGTATGGCAGATAGAGGGTGAAGCAGATAATGTTTTTATATTAGCAAAGATAGTTTTGTTCGTTTTACCCTCCCCAAATTAAAGTTCACAGGATGGCCCAACTGCGCGGCTGTGTACAAAATCGATCACACCACAAACTGATCACTTCACTGATCACAATGCAAAGTCGTAGCTGAAAACAAAATGGAAGAATATTTTCCCAACATGTCAACAGGCAAAGGGAGGGGCTTTTGCCATATGCTGAAGCAGTAAAATTAGAAGGAACACCTGTAATTTCTCTCAAGTGTGACCTGAAAGAACTCCTTGGAAGGCAAGGTCTAAGACCACTGGATCCCAGTGGACAACATTACTTGTACACCACAGAGTCATAAAATTCAAGGCCAGAAGGGACCAGCACATCATATAGTCCAATCTCCTATCTATCACAGGTCACCAACACTGCCCAGCACCTACATGCTAAATCCAAAACGGAAATTAAACCAAGGTATTAAAGCCTTCAGGAGACAAAACCATTATGTGCCACAAACAGAGAATAGGAGGGATTGAGGTGCACCATGCCTACAAATAA